AAACCCACCTGTTGTCTGTGTTCCTCGTCGGGTCCTTGTCTATCGTCGTTTGTTGTCGTAGTTCGCCAGTAGAACTGTAAAGTCCTGGTTTGTCTAACGTCTCAGTTTTTGTGTTACTTGCGCTCCAGTAGAACTGTTTAGTCCTGGTAGTGTCAGCTCTCGTGTCTAGTCCTATGATTCAGTTGCTACCGGTACTTAGCTGTGTGCTAGTTTCTGCCGTGCTGCCTGTATGGACTGCTGAGCTTTATTTTCACCATTAAATTCATTATCTTCACCATACCTGGGTTCTCAGCGTCTCTCCTCACCACCAACAACCCCACCATATGACAATAAGTAATTTTAAAAACATGGAGTCACATTCCATTTAAAGATGATAGTTTGCAATCTGGTTCCAAAGTTCCCAATTGACTATTGTAACTATTTCTTATCAACACAAAAACATTTTGAATGAGTGATTTTAGTTTCCCCACATGTGGGGCAATAAAGAACTGAACTGAGTTAATTTCTCAATATAGATAAAACTAGTGTGAACATTGTGCTGCAAGCAGATGCTCTATGAAAAATAACAGACTAAAACGTCTCTGCAAATGTAACTTACTCTATCAGGAACAATCCAAGTTTTTCTGATTTTTATTTTGATGCTTGTAATATACAAAGCAAAGCAAAGTAAGAGACAATATTATAATAGCTGAAGTATGCCAATTAATTCCAGTATGTTGAATCTATTATTATATTCTCTATCATCATCATCCTATTTCAGAAATACATCCACACCAGAGAAGCCTTTTTATATTTATTTCAACCCGGGAGGCCAACTCGCTGGGCATTCTCCTCCTTGGCTACAAAAGCATCTGAGGGATGGGACCTCGGTGCAGCTGCTTCCAATCACCACCCTCCATAAATACCCATGCTCAACACCCACTCATTGCCAGTTTTCCGATTCAGTGATATTTTTAGTCCTGGCCTCTGAATTTGCTAAGAAAACTTCAGTCTTGCTGCGGTGATTCTAAATGTTGAATTTTCTGTCTTTAGATTCAGTTGTGTCAGCTCCCAAACCTTCATCTGCTGCTACTCGTCTCCATTGTTCCCACAACTTCAACTTTGCTCTTATCTTCCATTAAACCTTTATAATGAGTCTGATGTTGGATTCCTCTCCCCAAGTATTTGACATGTTCCCAGGTAGATTAAATAAAATATCAAAATTCAAATCTTAATCTGACTACATTTAACTGGTTGCAGTCTGTACACATACAACACTGGTGAAACTATTCAGTCAATTAAAAGAGCATTGTATCTAAACTACATTTTTTTATATTGCACCTCAATAAATCATTGTCAGTATCAGATGCAGTTTAATCCAAGTTTACCATGTCTGTCTTCTCCCTTAAGTTATTTTAGGAATATATTTTATCAAAAAATATACTCTATACATTTTTAAGTGTTACCCATCATACTTTTTGTTTCATCATCAATTTCAGTTTTTATTCCCTCAACTTTAACTTGATTTAATATTTAATAGATGTGTGTGTAGCAGTCCAATTAACCTGTCTTTATATATATATATTTTTTTACATTCTTATCAATTCCCCTTTTCTATTAAAACTTTCAGCACCTTTTAAGTGCTTTTCCCTCCAATCTCATGCTCCCTTTATTTTCTCCATCTCAGCAGCTGACCCTCAGTTAAGCAAGGTGCAATACAAGGACAGCAGTTATCAAAAATACAATGAATCCAGCTCTGCAGCTCAGGCTTGGGATTTGGAGAAAATTATACAGAAACATGAAATAGTCCCAGTTTTTGCAGATGTACACGGTGAGTAGCGAAAGGCTTTATTACAGCTGCTTAAGTATTATATGAGGGAAGGGATACCATCAGGCCTGTAACTATGCTACATGCCTTGCCTTAAAATGAGCTCTGAACAGGGGAGCTGCACAGAGGCCAGCAGTCGAGGGAACAAAATAACAGAGAGCCAGTGAGAAGGAGACACTCCTCTCTGTTGATCATTCTCTGTGTCAAATCACAGATATTTACTGTCTGGTCTAATAAAGACATTTAAAACCATCACAAGTATCATCTGCAACAGAGAGGGAGCTGCTGTCACTGTTGGAAATTACACCTTATTCCCACAACTGTCAAAACTCTGCACCAATATGAATAAATTACAAATAAATATAGAACCCTCATCACTTTCACGTAAAAATGTCAGCAGTAATTGTTTTAAGCTACACTTTTCCGTCAATATCTTGACATTATGTCTGAGAACAACAAAAGGAAATGTTCTGACTACAACTAATGAGATATAAGGAATATTTTTGAGTCAAATACATCTACGGAGAGACTGTTACTCAAAAAAGTAGTGTACTTTGATCTTCTTTAATATTTTGCTGTCAGTATTCTATCCACACTCTTCGGCTCCCACTCAAGTACTTTTCATGTGTGTTCACTTGATGTCTTTCTTTTTTCTTTTGACAGTCCTGTTCAAATCCAGCAGACAAAAATACAAAAACTAAAGCAATTCTGTAGTGTAGTTTTTATAATTATCCTATTACGCATTAGGTTTTATGTTTTCAGTATCATAGCCATGAATTACTGTGAATAAATATGTTCTGTATCTATCAATGCGTCTCCATGACTAAAAACACTGCCACAAAATCACAACACACACTGATAAAAACAACTGCAGTAAAAGAAAAAAAAATCCACTATGTTTCCAGTTATCCATTATTTTGCCATGATTACTGGTAAATAACATAAAATTACTGATTTCAATGACCTTCTCTAAGTTTCCTTTCCTGTGAAGCATCATAGATCACAGTCTGGATGATACTTCACTTTTTTGAATTCCAAAATAGATTATGAAAAAAGAGCAGACAGCACACGTGAGTTCTTGAAAAGAAACACTTTGCATGCCAGCACATCCAGCATCCACATGAATGGTTTTCAGCATATTGAGAAGTGGCTTGGATGAGATTCAGCTCGACTACGTCTGATGTCACGCTTGTGAACCGGGAAAAGATGAACTGCTCCAACTGGGTTTAGGGGTGAGCTTTTCCCTTGAGTGGAGTTCAAGTATATGGGTGAGGGTTACACAGAAAGGAAATGGATGTTCCAACTGTTACCTTGTCTGGAGCATCGCAGATGTTATTTTATCCTTTGTGGATAAAATAAAGAGCCACAGCTCTGGAATTACTGGTGTATCTGGTTTTGCCCTACTTCAGCTTGTGAGAAAGTGGACATGATAAAAAGAACAAGATCAAGGATACAATTGGTTAAGATGAGTTTCCAAAACATAAACAATCTCCAATAAGGAGATGTGTTATCCAGGCCAAACATGTACCAGAGCTACTGCCATTCTGCAACTAAAAGAGTCAGCTATGGTGGTCTGAGTCTCCCACTGGGAGGAAACGCAGGTGGCAGACTCAGAACATCTTGGAAGAACTTTAAGGGGAGTGAGCATTTTGGGATTCTTCTAAATCAGAAAGTGTCCAAAGTGCCATTTGTGATCCCTCGATGGATTTTGTGCAGCTCCCACCTGCAATATCTGAATGACAAATGTTGCCCTCCTGCACAAACATTTGATGCAGATGGCAAGTTATTATGGACAACTAAAATTTCCTTATAATGGAATTGTTCGGAAATAAGATCACATATATCTGGTGAGTAAATATCTGGTGTTATTTATTCAAAAGCAAACTTCGGTGCACCCAAATCTGCTTTTATATTATTCATTAAATAAAGTAAGTGTATTTAAAGAAATCCTGTTCTTATTGCTGCAAATAGGCTGTTTTTCAATCAACTAAAATTAAACTTGTAGAGTTGAATTATCCTTTTCAAGTTTTGGGTCTGCAATCATCCGTCCATTTTCTGTACACCCTTGTCCTTAGTGGGCTTGGGAGGGATGCTGGTGCCTATGTCCAGCGAGACATTTAGGAGAACGGCAGGGAAACAGCTCTACCAACTGCGCCACTGTTCAGCCTGGTCTGCAATCATTTATAAATCAATTTCCTACAAAAAATAAAAAACAAACTATATATATATATATTTTTTTTTTTATAAAATATCACATCCTTAGTTTAATACTGAGCAGGGAAAGCAATTGTATAATATAAAAAAATAAAAGTTTTTGGTTAGGAAAGACTTTAATTTTATCAAAAATTCTTCTCTAGTTAACCTGGAGAGTGTTCCTCTGGAAAGGCCAGACTGGGCTGTATTTGCTGGACGTGTTCCCACTTCAACTTAATAATGGAAGACAATAGATGGATGAAACTGCATCCATTAAATTAAATTCAATAAGTTATTCAGATTGAAGTGCTTTTCTTCCACACAATCATGGAGCTCAAATGTAGAACTGAGAACATTATCTAATGTCTGTTAGAGTTGCATTCACCTCCTTTTTATCTGAAAGCGCAGATAATCTGCTGCTAATTACAAACACTTTTTTGATATATTTTGATTCTTTAGATTTTTCCAGGATGTCACATAGGGAAGTTTTTTGAGGTGTTGCCAAAAATACACTCCTACCTGTGGCTGCATTTAACTGTCGTAAGCTAACCAATCAGAGACTTGGCTGGTTTTGATATAATCTGGGCTTTCATAACTTGTTTAAATACACAGTGATGATAGTTCTATTATAAAATACAGAGACTTTTTTTTCCTCTTTTGTGATGTTGGGTATAATAAGTAAAACAAAAATGTGAAAGAGTAAATGTTTTGTTGTGAAAGAGTAAATGTTTTGTTTTGGTTTAAACTAAAACTCAACGTTCTCCAGATCAAGTTGGTCATTAAAATCTGCCTGGGTGTTTGTTCTAGGTAGAAATGAAAAAACCTTTGTGACCCTGGAAACTCTGACTTTGACTCTGTGCACCACGGTGAATTAATCACACTTAGGTTTTTGTTTCACCTTTGTTTTTCTGTTGTCAGGGCTACGTGATTGGAGGTCGATGTGCTTGTTTAAAAGTCAGCAAACATAAAGAGTGACAAAAAAAATCCTATCTAACTCAACTTCATGTTTTGTTTTCTTTTTTATTTGTCTTTCATGTCCACAAAGTAACAGTTTCAGATTATATTTGTCTGTTCTGTGTGGTCATTAGGTATGACAGTTGGCATGCTTACATGAAAAACGGAGTTTCCACCTGCAGGGACGTCGAGTGAAAATCAAAGTGAGAAGCCGGCACACGAAGTGAACTCCATTTGACTGACAGCGGTTCTCACAGGGAAAGAAAAAAGTATTAATCTGTAGAAACAGAAAGACGGACACAAAGTGACAAAAAAATCAACACGCTGTCAAGGATTAACTCTTCATAAAGAATTCTCATTTTCACCACATCCAGTGTCATCAGCGAGATAAGTTTTAATATCACAACCACTGTCTTCTCGAATAAAAGAAAAAAAAACCTGAGAACATGTAATATGTTTCACCCACATCATCCTTCTGCTGCCACTTCCCTTCCTGTGATGTTTTGTTTATTTGCTGCTTTTGTTCCTTCACCAAGAGCCTGAAGAAAGAGTCAAGCTGCCATGATGTGACAGTGGGGCTGTCACCTCAAGGTGCATGTGGGGTGAGTGGGCGACTGTGGGCTGAAGGGAAATAGGGGTGTGTGTGTGTGTGTGTGTGTTGGGGGGGGGTTGGTGGACAGAGACAGTCACATGCAAGTTTCATTAATTGGTATCACTTTACCCAAAGAGGACAAACTCTTTCATCCTGGCAGTCTAATTAGAGCTGCGGACACCTTTTTATGTGTTAAAACATGCATGTATGCATGAGTTTGAGACCCACGTAGATAGGAGGATGAGGAGCAGACGTTACACAGAATGAGGAGAGGTGGATATTACACATTCTCTGGGTCAACACTATCTTCTTTGCTACTAATCAACCTCTTACTGCAGTTAACAAAGAGCTTCTCCCGTTTCCCTTGATGTGAAACCAGAGTTCGTTTACACTCTTTTGCGAACCATATGCAATTTGGGTAAATATTGATCTAATTAGGAGAGGTAAAACAGTTAAGGTTTATTTTATATCTGTGGTCATTTATCTAAAACACTGTATACATAAATTACATTAACATTCAAACAGAATATAAAAACTGTTTAATATTTTGACTTAAAACAATAGCTAAGATCTCATAAAACACTGGTAGTGCTAGAAGTCAATTACCCGATGCAATCTGGGTTTCTTTAAACAGAAATCTTTTTGGCCGATTTAAATAATTGGTTAATTAGCAATTCATTTAATAACTGACTATGTACTGAGGTTGAAAGGAAATAAAAAGACATTTTTGGAGTTTAAATAAATAAATTAAAGATGATTTGGACCATGTACCATTCCACATTTATGACAGGCACAACCAGTTTAACATTTTATCGCCTCTTTTTCAGAGCTTAGAGATTTAATCATCCAAACACAATGGAAAGTTATAAATTGTGTGACTGGACCTGCGTAAGCTCCCACTGTGGTGACTCTAGTAATGTAACCAAACTCATTACCTCCCTGTTTAACTGCCAACCACTGACCACAGAGAGAGGGGAGTTCCAGAGATAGGATGCAATAGAA